GTTGATTTAAGGTTGAATTGCCATCACTCTACATCTGTATGTACAGAAGGAGTCAGGAAAAAACACTGTGTGGAGGCTTTTTCATGCATTCAGCTGTTGTATTTCAGTTCTTGTGTTTGGGATCTTGTCAAAATAAATGCAGAAACGTACAGTCAGATTTGGATCTACATCCAATGCCATGATTAGTAATATCTTGCCAATTCTCCCAAAACACTGCCAGTGCCATAAAAGCACACCTGGATAGAAAACACACAGTGGAGCACTATCAGTCATGGACAGGTATCCCCAGAGTGCAGACCGCAGCGTTATTAAAGCAGTGTGGGATGATCTCGACAGAGAACAGAAAAGAAGGCAGCCAGCATCCAGAGAAGAGCTTTGAAAGTTCTTCAAGACTGGAGAATTATTCCTGAAGACTATTTAAAGAAATTACAAGAAAGCTTGTCATCGAGTTCAGGCTGTGCTGAAGAATAAAGGTGGTCATACCAGATATTTACTCTCAAGCTTGATAGAGTTGTACAGCCTCTGGCTTTGCCTTATATAACGTATCTTTACTTCTGTTTGCACATTTTATTAAATTGCTGAACCTCTGCCAGTTTCACAGCAAAATACAAAGAGGTGAGGGGTGGCTCGAGATTTTTATGTGGCACTGTACACTTACCATCACTTAAGGGAGCTTTAAGGTTAGGACTTACTCTTACTGTAATTCGTGAATACATTAACATCCTTAAAATCATGCATAATTAAGCATATCAGCCTTTTCATCTGATACTTTCCCATCCATGTTGAATTTGTGTAACACAGATACCCCATCTGCACCTTGTCAGTGTCTTCTAGGGGATTTTCTGTCAGACATGTTTTCTCTTTATGCCCTTCCTTTTTTGGTTAAAACATAAGGCTGATTTGGGACTATGCTATGTGTCCCCATTGACTACACTCTGTATACACTATATATAATGCTCAAAGCACTGCTGTGCTGTCAGTTTGCTAGCATGACTGTACAGTGTTGTTGCAAAGTAGACAAAAAACACTTTGCTTTTTGTGTTACCTTGATCTCAAATTGATTTTGTCAGTTTTTCATCCTCATCTAAGAGTACAGTTATTAATAGCCGATAGTTGTCAAGGTATTACCTTCATTGAAAGAGAATTTATCCAAATTGAATCTGACAAACTACTAAATTTTTACCCTCAAAGAGCCCATTGAAGTTCTGGAAGAAAGTTGGTTCTGACAGAGCTAGACTATAGGATCAAATCAGCAACACTGAACATGTAAACAACAACCATAAGTAAAGCAGCCATCCTGAGAATACCCTTTGATAAACAGACTTTCATACAGGGCTTCAAATTTATTAGTTCTGCCATCTTAGACAAGAACGTTTATATGCCCCTGGAATCCTTCTGGAATTGTAAGCCAGATGGTAGAAGAATAAGGTGTGCCCACAGCCGTGAGTGTCTATTAACCCTTACCTTCAAAGTGCATCACAATGCCACCTTCAAACCAAATTACTAAGAGGTGTACTTGGAAAACACCTTGTGATCAGTGCACCCTTGGCACCTTTATTCAGGACTTCCAATCTATGGAATGGATTGCAAAGTAATTACACAAGGACCACAGGAAAAGAGACTGCATAATCCAAATTTCAATTAAAGCTAATGTTTAAACATATAGTAGTTCAGGTTGGCCTTGAGAATTAACAAGCAGAAAGTAAATTTTTGCTCATTCTGGAGTTCAGATGGCCATTGGGGACAACGTTTTACAAATTACTGTGAAATAAATAGAGACTATGACTTGAGAAGGGATCTGACCATGACCTGTTTCTGTCTGAGGAGAAAACTCTCCCTTAGATAATTAGCATTCATGGACTGCTTGAAAGGTTCCCTTCACCTTCCATTCAGTTTTCTGACATGCTCCAACAGGTCAGCATGACCTCTAGCAAACCTCTTCACGATCACATTCATCACTGCATACTTGAAAACCCTTGGCACATTAGTAGCGCTGAAAACCTGACCATCTGCAACTCAGTTTTTAAAAAAAATCAATTTCCACAAATTTACCATCTCAGTAAATGGCTGCATTATTTTAACCTTAAGTATATCCAGTGTTGGGAAGGTTACTTTTAAAATGTATTCCATTACAGAATACAGAATACATGCCCCAAAATGTATTCTGTAACGTATTCCGTTACGTTACTCAATGACAGTAACGTATTCTAAATACTTTGGATTACTTAATATATTATCATGCTTTTTACAACAACGTGAATGTACTATTGCTGTGTGATTTATAACTATTACTGAAGGTCCGCGATTCCGAACTGTAGTAAAGGGACCTCTGACTAATACGGCGGGGTCCCTGTCGGCTCGTAAAGACAGAGAGAGGCGTTGAAAGACTGCTCCAACGGAACTTATTGTTTTCGGAGGAAAACACGAACACGGTGTACAGTCGAGTCTTAATAGCTTACTTACAACTGGGCTCGTCAGGCACTCTTCTTGGCTGAAGTGGTTATTATTATATTTACATGCTTCCAGCTCCCGTTTTTCCTCGATGACAACTCGTACCTTTCCACTCCCCTTTTTCTCCCTCCTCGCGCTCACAGACACATAACGTGTATGGCAGTCCATTCTCCCTGCAACACAGACTACACTGAACATGATGCTACATTCTTTAGAGCTATGCTTGTAGCATTCTGCCTGTTAGCTTAGCACAACAACAACAACAACAACGAAAAGGCGCTCTCTCACCCAGGAAACACACAGTCGCAGAGAGAGAGAGAGAGCGTCGCCCTGTAACCATGGCAACCGTAACGCTGCCGCCTGGAACAACAGAACGTAGCTGTCAAACAAAACCCAAACAGTCCTGACCCGCGACAAAATGAAACAGGAAAGTACCGCAGTGTAATCCATTTATTTCAACAAAGTAACTGTATTCTGAATACCACCTTTTTAAACGGTAACTGTAACGGAATACAGTTACTCATATTTTGTATTTTAAATACGTAACGGCGGTACATGTATTCCGTTACTCCCCAACACTGAGTATATCATGCTGTAATACTGTGTTTTTGTTTTAGTCGTTATTTTCAATGTCTTTTCTCATCTTCTGGTTACTATGTTTTTGCGTGTCCATTTGTTTCTTTAGTAATTTATAATTGCTGAGTTGATGTAAGTTTCTCTTTAACTTTTGTCACATACAAGGCTTCAGTCACATGGAATTTGCTTACTGGTTGCTAGAAAAAATTCTCTACTCCCCAACTGACAAGCGGTGGCTGATGGTCGTTAGGTTGAAGTATGATGCTGCACAAGAAACATCTCCTTGTGATTGCCTTGGTCACTAGCAGATGGCAGAAATGGAACATCCTCTATTTTTGCAAAACGGAAACAGAGAATGTAAAAGTATGAGTAAACGTTTTGTCGTACTGCTTCAGCCAAAATGTTTGAAAAAGCGTAACTTTTTCTTTTAAGCCAAATGGTTTCCTGTTTTGGTTTATGTTGCAATTTTCACAGCTTCACAACAACTCAGAGAGTAGATGTCAACTGTTTGCAGACAATTTGGCAACTTCCATGCAAACAATGGGCAACTGCTGCAATCCACAAGTGATCAAATGCAAGAAGGTTTTGGGTGCAGCAGCATATATTCTTTGTAAATACTTTTTATCAAGCACGTACCAGTTACTTCCATGAAAATTTGCAGTCTTTAGTTGCTAGGGAGACATTAACATTTGAATTTAGCCCCAAAGCTATATAGATTATTGCAACTGTGGTGTTTACAGGTCATTTTTAGTTCTAAAACGTGAAATTCGAAGGCATGGGATCACAGTTTATTACTATAAACATTTAACACACCAGGTTAATGAACAGTTGTTTAAGGTTGTTTAGTAATGCTGTATAAACAGATCGCTAATTATCTGAGCAAAACTTGCCATACTATGCCATAGACATAGTACGTGAACTCACAGTTTTCTTATTGTTCAGAACAGGTGTGAAGCAATTATTTTTAACACTTGCCACTGACTCTCAAATTATATTTCACTTCTGGGAACTTGTATGAAACAGCAATGTAAGCAAACCCTAGGCCCGCACACACAAATACACACACGTGCGTCATGTTAATGTTTCCTCTGTTCTCCTCTCCCCTGCTCTGGCCTCATCTATTTTAATGCAGTGAGAATGCTGATTGGACAAGATGAACATTTAGACAGGGTGAAAGGAACAGCAGCTTGCAATTTGTCACCTTCTCACTACTTTTTAGTAGTTGAAAGAGATGATGTGGAGAAGGGTTTGACTGGAGAACAGATGCAGAGATAAAAGCGATGCAACAAAGGGAAGAAGACAGTGATCTACTTTCTTCCAAGTGAAAATTGAAACCACTGTCTCATTAACTCTGGAAAAGTTTAAGAATTGCTGGTGGGAAGTAACTTTAACACCTTTGGACAAGTTGCAATAAGTGGGAAAAGAGAGCAGATCCCTCAAGTTTGTCTCGACACCCTTGCCAAATCAAACCCAAAAAACTTTGGATTTTTGTATAGGAGCAATAACTAAAAGAATGTCGAATAAAGTTTAGCTCAGACAATATGGCAGGACAGATGATTTCATGTAACTCTGACCCGCTTTCAATTGTTGTCAAAGTTGTCAAAAAGTCTGCAAATACATAAGGCCCCTTATGAAACTGTACGGCAGGAAATGCTGTTAATAATTCTCATCATTCACAGCTATCTCTCCTTCTCACACATACATTGATTCACCCCCTTACCCACCCAGTATCTTTCCTAATTTCAAAAGAGAAACCATGCAGTTTTTAACAAGATTGGAAAAAAATGTTAAGAGTTGTACATCATTGATTTACACATGTACTTTGTTTAATATGAGAGGACTTTTTATTCAAAGAATGACTCACCTCAAAGGCAGCCTGAAGTGCTGCTTGCATTTCAAAACAGCTGATTAAACCCTTGAATTCCCTTTTCTTATTATGTGTGTGCCTGTGCTTTTTGTTCTGTCTGGTTTAGGCTACAGATCCAGATCTGGGGGCAAGCGGTCAGGTCCATTATCGGCTCGTCAACCACCAGGGGCTGTTTTCCATCAATGCCACTGGAACCATTACAACTGCAGTGCCACTGGACAGAGAGGTGAGACGAAGCTACAGATTCTGTTCCTAATTAGTTTAGGGCAAAGCAGACAACTGTAAACGGTAATAAAATTTTTATGACGTAACTCCACAAACAGGAATGGCTGAAAGAAGTGTGTTTTTGGTTTGCACATCCAGCTATATGTCCCATGAGTTTTGTCAAAATCTGGCATTAACATTCCCTTGGAGTGAAAGATGAACTGCGGGGCTGAATAAACTGTCAGTGCAGTAAAGATAAACCTATCCAGATCAACTGAAGGGCCAGCAGCTTCTCTTGGATCCTGGGCCAGTTTTTTTGCTGGATTTTTGTTTTCCCCATTTCTTAACGACATGACTTTCAGAAACTATTCATATGCTGGAGACTTGCCATTCAGGGCTAATACTTGTTCTTTTGTCCTCCAGTTGTCTAGTTGGCTCAAATTTTTTAAGGACACACTGCACATCATAGCAAGATATGACATGTTTTCAGCAAATATTTTGTTATGAATCATCTTCTTTGTGCAAAAATAAAATATTTTGCCTTTCAAACTGTGTTTTGTTGGCATTTGTTGTAGAAAAACGGTTTTTGTTCCTAATAATAAAGTGCATAAAGAGAAGTTATATCTAGACACTACAATGGATCATTTCAGTAGTTAGGTGCTGCTTTTATGCTAATATAGGTCTATAACAAACGGACTTAAAATGTGTGCAAAAGAAGCCAAAAAAAACACCTTTCTGAACTGTTGCTAGAGAACTATTGCTCAGAACCATTGCCCTTTAAAAGCAAAATTTAAAGAAAAGAGGAGTGGTTGAAGACTTTTGCACAGTACTGTCAAACAATATAGTGGTGACATATACAGCAGCTCAGAATTAAAATCTGGTTGACATGAATGCAAACTGTAATTTGGGTGGTTGGTGGAAGAAAGCTGTGAGAAAGTAATTCTTGTTTGTAGCTTTGTTAATGCTAAATTTTGAATATGTGTTCTCCCGAAGGTTAAAGGCCATTACTATCTCACGGTTGAAGCCTGGGATGGTGCAGAGAATCCACGGCGATCCAGATTAACACTTCGTGTCACCGTTCTGGATATAGACGACAACAGCCCAATATTCACCCAACAAACTTACAATGTCAATCTACCGGAGAACAGCCCAAAGGGCACTGTTATATTACAATTAAAGGTAAGTGTTTGTAAAGAGGAACAGGTGGGTTTGTAGCTTAGGCATTTAGCGAATCAAACAAAAAGAAAAAAATCAGTAGTTCATTGGAACTTTTATATCTAAATTTTTGGTAAAGTGAAAAAGTTCTCCAGTGTAAATAAGGCTTTGTTGCAAACAAAAACTTACTGAAACTAGATCATGACAAATAAATCATCTCTGCTGATGCATTGGTTGGTTTTAGATTAGTACAGTTATATCTGAATCAGCAGATAAACAGTGCAGCAAAGAAAGATGGGGGTTTTTTTTGAGAAAACTACCTGCATTATAAAATGTAATTTCTTCAGCAGATAACTCTGGCATGTATTTTTTATCTGAAGAAGATCCAACTCAGTGTTGCTCACAAGTCTTTAAACAAATGAATGGATTCCTAAAGGAACTGTTCTATATTGCTTATGCTGTTTTTATGTGTGCGTTAATTGTTTGTACTGCCCTACCAGCCATTGATCTAACCAACGATAATTTCCCAGAACAATTGTTTTTTTCTGTTTGTTTTTAGTGTATTTCTGAGAGCAATCACACAGCTTATATGTTTATATGTTTCTTAATTAAAACATCACTTTTTCTTGTGTTCTCAGTGTTAGCGTTATCATTTAAATCTCTATAGCACTGTAGAGGTTTAGAAGAACGTTTTTTTTTATCAAATCTTAGCATTCCTTAGCAAAGACACAAATTGCTGGTTTGCATTTATTTTATATACAGATCAAGCTAATATGTTTAATGTCCTTAATAATGTTCTTAATAAATCCCTTTATCTTAAAAATTCCCAATGATGTCAGTCTAATTTAATGTTATTTGTGCACAAATTATTGAAAATTATATTTATGCTGCATGCAGTGATAGAACATTGATAGTTTGATAACACTTGCAGACACGCTGCACACTGCAGCAGAATGTGAGATAAAGCTGCACAGCTACACTTTAAAATTATTACATAAGATATGGACCACCAGCTGTAATTTAAAGGTTACTACCACAGGCATTTCTGACAACAACACAGATCTAATTAAACTGTTATAGTGTGTTACAAGCAGGTACATATGGATTCTTGTCCTACTGACAAGTATTAGAAATTCACATTGCTTTCCTTTCCATGTTCTCTGTAGGCGACAGACGCTGACCTCAACTCCAACCTTACTTACCGAATCAGAACCGAAGGCTCGGGCCAGGACATCACTCAGCTGTTCCACATCGACTCCAGAACAGGCGAGCTTTCAGTTCTCAAGGTTCTGGACTTCGAGGCTCTGTCTGAGTCAGAGCCCACATACACGTTCACTGTAGAGGCCCTGGACACAAAGGGAAACATGCCTCCTGGACTAGCCTCTGTTACAGTCAGAATAATGGTGAGTGCGTAGGTATGTGTCTACAAGCTAGTTTCTCTGTGTGGACATAAAGATGGGTAATATTTTCTACTCTTTTAGTAAAGTGTCTTTAGTTTGAAGAAAGGTAAACTGGCATTATGATGTAGCAGGTATTGGAAGATCATTATGCTTTTTGGTGGGGGTTTAATAAATGAATAATGAATGAAAATGGAATATGGAAAAGGCAAGCAAAGCATTTTCAGTCAGGAAAATAAAAAAGACCAAAAAAGCATTTTAGAACCAGCGTGTGAAAATACAGTGTGGTCTACATTGTAAAATGGCAAGTACCAATTGGCGGATACAACTGCTAACTTGCCATCCAAGTGGCATCGGCAGCACTAGAATTGATTGTTGCAACATCTGTTTGGTGTAGAGTCCAAGCGGCAACCTTTTGGGCTGAAAAAAAGCACCAAAAACTGCATTTTTTTGAATGACCATTTGACACTCGCTCCAAAAGAGAACTTTATAGTAGCAGTCACCATAGCTGGTTTTCCCTTTTAAATCAAATATGTGGAGGAATTCTTTTTAAACCCATCTGTTTAAATCATGTTAAGTCTTACATGTATTGGAGCAAGGCTGCTTTGAGTGTTAGATGGTTGCCAGTTCCTACTAGTTCAAATAACTAAAGTATTGGTGGCTTTTGGATCATTCTAAATGTAAATATCTAACAAATAATATGGTTTACTGTGTGATTAATTATTATACTAACAGACCTCCCAAGAAGTCTGTCCTCCAGTTTTGGTGAGTAAAATTTGGGTATTTTATTTTTATGCTCTTATTAGCAGGTATCTGTGTCTGTGCAATGCACCCATAAAGTCTATGGATGCGACTTGCTAATCACCTTTGCTAGTGTTAGCAGATAACTTAGCATTCCACCCTCTCGTCCAAATACAGTCCCTTCTGGCTCCAAAAAACAACACAGTGATGCTCACAATCATACAAAAAAAAGGGTTCACAAACCAATTTGTGATGAAACAAGTGGTGCTGCCATATACCAGAAGAAGCACATGGTGGACTGCTGTGGGTGGATACACTCAATGTAAAACAGTATAAATATAGGCTCAAATATATTGTATTGCCCAAGGTTTTCACTCGTCTGCCATCACATGCATATAAACTTGAGTGACATCACATATTTTAATTCATAAGCTTTAATATAATGTTGGCACATCCTTTGCAACTATAATAGCATTAACTCTTCTGGGAAGGCTTTCCACATTGTTTAGGAATGTATTTATTTTTTACCATTCTTCCAAGGTATTTCCAAGGTTTGACACTGATGTTAGACGAGAAGGCCTGTGTCACAGTCTCTTCTGTAAATTATCCTAAAAGCGTTCTGTTGGGTTGAGGTTCCCAAACTGTTCCCACAAAGTTAGGACCATGAAGTTGTCCAAAATGCATGCATTTATTATTGAAACATTGAGAGTTAATTTGACTGGAACTAAGGGCCCGAGCTTAACTCCTGAAAAACAAACCAACACCATAATGCCCCCTCCACCAAACTTTACACTTGGCACAGTGCAGTAAGACAAGTACCGCTCTCCTGGCAACCACTGAACCCAGGCACATTTGTCAGTTTGCCAGATGGAGAAGTGTGATTTTCTACGGTGTGATTTCTTGATTTTATACACCTTTGGCCATGGAAGTGAGTGGAACACCTAAATTGAATTATTTGAATGAATCGGTGAGGAAATATGCATAAGTGTGCTGAAGGTTTTACAATAACCTTTGATTAGACAAGGTCCAGGCCTATTAACCTCTTGCTAGTGATCATGATTGCATACTACTCTATGCAGAGGTATATAATGCTCAAGCCTACAGTGATCTGGAAACTGCTGGAAGCACCAGTGTGATCGTCCACAGTGAAACCAGTTTTAGATCACCATGGACAAACAAAGTGATGAATTAGAAAGAAGTCCCTATCCAGTCGTCAAGTGATGACGTGACGAATCCTACTTCCGGGCCTAAAGTAGTCTGCGTTTAATATGGCTTTTGTGTTAACATGTTTAATGTTTTGTATTTTCTTCTATTTAATCTCAAAAAGCTCCTAAAACAGTCAGTGATCACTGTTGACCTCCCTCGTCTTTTATTACCGCTAATCATTTATTTAAGCTCAGTTTTTAAAACCTTAGGATGTAACTACAGCCCAGCCCATGCAGCAGTATATGAATGACTAACCTCATATTGTGGATGGATTATCTCAGTTGTTCTCCTGGCTGAAGTTTGGTCCTTTTACAGCATCCTGCCATGCGATTACATTTGTTCCTGACCACCAAGAACACTCACATTAACTTTTATTGAGTGGAAAAAAAGTTAGCTTGTTTATATTATGCTAACATAGCTGTGTCGCTAGCGGTCACGTAACACATCATTATATACCAGCTAGCCCAACTTCAGTAACCCTACAAACGTCACTGCTGTTTAGTTTTCTGTCGTTATTTATGTTGGAAGTGATAACAGAGCTGTACGTTTTAATTTGTTTCCAAAACCCCGCAGTCAGGACATGCTATATTGTATTTAGATAGAAGCTAGCGAGCTAACTCCCTGCTAACTTCTAACTCCGTTAAATGTCATAAATTCCGTTTTCATGGATGCCTGGATGTTAAACTCAATTGTTATACCTGGTAGAGCAGAACGCTGATCATTTTATTAAAGATGAAAGACTTTAGACAGTTTTTCAACTCTCAGTAATGCCATAGTGATCGTTTGATATATGGACCGAAGCAGCGGAGTTTAGGCCCAGACACGGCTAGTGACGTCAGACTTAATGACCGGATTACAAAACAGATGAAAACTTGGACATTTGGGTGTTCCAGCAGGACAGTGATCCCAAACACACTTCAGAACTGGTTTTGGATAAAGTAGGCGAACATGTAACTGGACACAAAGCTCCAACCTCAACCCTCTTGAAAATTTGTGGACTGTTCTTAAAAGCCATATCTGTGCCAGGAAACCAACCAATTTGAATGAATTATGAAGAGTGATCAAGTATTTAGACAGAGTCATGCCAAAAGGTTGGTAGGGACATTTAACCAAACATTAGTAGGCATGTGCAAGCCTATATGTATACTTTTGACCCTGTGTGAATTAGAGAAAATCCAAAAATAAGTTCAAACTTGAGCACCCAGCTCTTGTCGTTGCTGATGTATAGTGTACAATCATTTCACCCAATGTTACATCTACTATGAAATTTCAGGAATTTGAACAAAGTGTCAAAGAGCAAAACTGTACATTTGGTCTTCAACAGCACTGACTTCCTGCCTTTAGCCTTGACTATGTCAGTCTCTTATATACAGTATGTGGTAAAACCTTGTCTTTCATACATAGTTCACAGTATAGATGACTATACACAACAACAGATGTACATCCACTACATTCAAATTCATCTTAAACGTCTACATGCTAGTCTATTTGATTGCTTGACCTTGAACTTCTGTGCAGAGCATGGCTACTATTAGAGTAGTATATGCCAATATTTATAATCAAGGAAATGCATCAAAGCATCACAGCATCTTCATTTTACACAGCCAAAACAGCACATTGTCTTCCTGCTTTGTTTTTCTTTCCTGTAGTGCTGCTAGACACAGGATGGATCCTGTTGTCTCTGACACTCAGTGACTATACCAGAGATTAGCATATGAATCTATGCAATCTATGGACTTTAAGTTCTGTTATCAGAAACTTTAAAATGACGAAGAAATAAGTGGACAGTTTCTGTGCTTTATACAACATTTAGTTTACATAGTGTGTTTTTGTTTTGTTTAGTTTTTTTGAGTTTGACAACTGTGAATGAAATTTTTTAAAATCCATCATTTAACCAGCCAATGGAAAATTAAAAGCACAATTGTTTTGTGGTGTCCTCACTTTCACCCTTGCTGATGTTTTCCAGTACTGCTGATGCCTGCTGTGATTAAAGCCCCACAGGTTTTCATGAACACCCCATTTATTCTACTCACTACAGCATTTGTTCTATTCAGAGATAAATTAGAATCCAAGCCAAAGAAATAAAATAAACTCAGCATAAGCAATAGATTATATGCACTACTGTTCATATATATATATTCCTATGACAAAACTGCTACAGTAATTTGCTGTTATTAAAATTTTCAACATTTCAGGAACTTCAAGGAAACAAAAAGCATTTTGGTGCAGTGTATTTTAAAAATGCTAATACCGTACCGACTCTGTGTTTGTGTTAAATCTCTCTCCAGGACATGAATGACTTTTCTCCAGTATTCAGCCAGTCAGTGTACCGAGGCATGGTTGCCCCCAATGCTGTCAAGGGAACCATCGTAACCACAGTGATGGCCAATGACTCTGACCCTGCGGTGAGCATTATCAGATGCAGCTATTCAATCAAACTGTTTCACAGCCTGCTCCTCAAATTGTGTACTGGAATGATGCAAGATAATGGTGCTTGTCTTCAGTCAGTGTGTGTGTAGGTGTGTTTTTAACGCATTTTCACTTCTTTCTCTAGTGGAGTATTTTTTTTTTTTTATACCTCAGTGTGTCACAAGGTGAAATCTCAAGAGAACATTTAATGCTGAGCATCCTTGTTATGTAGACTGCTTTATTCTGGTTGGTGTAAAACGAGGTTTAGCTGTTTTATGTGAGTCTGATTTATGTAGCTGTAGGTTAATAAGGTGATAACATGCTCATACAGAATTCTCATAATCGGCAGTATGTGAGAATATCTCACGAGGCTTCATTGAATCATGCAGCGACACTGGGAAAATCACTTTTTTAAAAATATTAGAAAGAAAAATAAACCAGCTGATGCGTTTAATTCACAAAACAGGTGTTTATGAAAAAGCACTGGGAGTGCTTTTATTTTGCATTACTGCTCAAGATGCCATGAGCTTATTTTTCCCTCCTCCTTCTTCATGCAGGATCTTCTACACCAGCAGTGTTCTCACATAAGCCTCTTTAAAGCACCGCTTTCCCTTCACTGTTGCGCATGCTGCTTCCTGTGTTAGCTGAATTGCTTCATACTTTAGATTTAAGCATGAGAAATTCTCTTGGGTCAAAAACAACATTATAAAGTCCAGGCTATATGCTATAAAGGACCTCCCCAGTGCTCAACAAAGGTACTAAATAGCACCTTGTTTGAGCGCTGGAGCCTATAATATTCATATATCTCTGTGTAATTTCCATTCCAGTTCTAAAGTATACCTCGAAAGTACAAATACTTTCAAGAATTTATCAGCATCGGGTTTTGCTGACTCACTCTGAGCTGTTGTGCAAGAAAGTGTTACATCAGTGTAGACAGTTGCTGAAATACTGCTCGCAACAGCAGTGCTTCTGCAAAAGTGAACTCAGATTAGACCGTTTGATGGCTGGATTGAAAAATGGCTGTTTACATAATTAAAAATATCTATTTTGTCTGTCTGGAGTTTCTCTTTAACTTCCCTCGTTGCCCTTACTCTTTCAGCGTTTCAGTGTGAAAATATGACCTTAGCAGACTTGTCATTGTTGTTTTTTCGCTGGTGGATTTATAGCCTTAAGGGAGATAAAGTGAATAAAGTCTGTATGACAAGCAAGACATGTAGCAAGAACCTTTCGTCCCCTGAGAATAAACAGAGGGCAGATATACTGTATGACTTTTAGCCAAAGGAGCAACTTTTGTTGCTGTAAATGTTGTTCCTCAGACCATGACATAGACAGCATATGTAAGGATTATAGTGAAAACATTTTTTTAAAGAAGATATAAATGAACTGCTTCTGTCACATATTACAATTTCTGAAAATAAACTAGCAAAAGCACCAGTTTTACCACTTTGTCAGCGCGTATTTTTAAAGTTCAAGGTAAGCTTTAAACGCTGAGGTCTAATTTGTTGGTGTGTTTATTTTTCCTCCTCAGAATGGCACAGCTATTTTTTCCTCACTGTTCAATCTTGAGCTCATTAAAGAATACGGAGTATTTGCTTAAAATATGTGGATATCACAATGTAAATGTATGTATTTCCTGACATTTTGTGTCAAATCAGTCATAGTAACTTATGGCTGCTCATTATCAGCAACAGTTAAGAGGTTAATTCATGACCATTTGAACCGCATTTATTTAAAGTAATGATATGTCTTATAACGCTCACAATTATTTCTATATAGAGACTTAACATTTGGATCCCTGCTAATTGCTTTAGATATTAAATACTGCAAAACTCATTACACAGCCATCACCACACTATTTAATTACAGTTCAGAAGATATTAGAAAAAAAGAAATGGTTTTCCAGAAACCATGCATGAGGCATTTCATCCTATAGTTTTTTGTTTAATCAACTTCAAGTTTTTTATTTTAATGTTTAAATGGATATTATTTTGTTGTCATCATAGGGTACTCCAGCAGGTTTAGTACGTTATAAGGTGGACCAGGAGGCGTATCCATACTCAGCCAGTATATTTGGCGTAGACGAACAGACCGGACGTGTGGTTACCAGAGTGAACCTGAACGAAGAGCCGAACATGAAGTTCAGCGTAAGTGTGCACAGACGTCTTTTTTAAAAATCAATTTTTCTTTCTTTTTTTTTTTTGGTAAAACACAATGAAGAAGACTCAACTTTACACTTGAGTCATCTTCATTGTTTTATTTAAAATCGACTGTGGTGTATAGAGGCAAAACTACAAATATTGCATCTTCGTCTTCAAATTGTGGATGTAACTGTACTGAACTGCTGCTGCATCAAACCCATCATTACAAGTCTTTTGCAGTATTTTTAGTTAAAACCCTGAAACCAGGTTTTACATTTACACTCGGTCCTATTCGATAATGCCTGTATTTCATTAAATGTAACAATTGCGTAGTGAGTGTTTAATTGCATCATCTTACATAACAGCGGTTGTTATTTAGATAACATTTATCCTGGTGACCTTCTTATTGCTTTATCATCTGGATTCTGGTATTCAGTAGGTGGGGGCGTGGAACGACATCATACAAAATAAGTCAGAATGATTAGATTACTAATTTCAGATTTGATTTGCTTATATGTAATACTTATGAACAGGGGACTCTGAACAATTCCCTATCCACTCTACAAAATATACTGCAGCAGCTTATTAGTTTCAAATCTACCTTCTCCCAGCTGTATTCCTCAATGGGCCTTGCTAATTTCATCTTTTCATTGGGCTTTAATTAACACAACAAGGATTCAGCATCCTCTGAAGATATCGCTCAAGGGACTAATTCTACCTTGTTTGCTCCAATAACTCAAACAAAATGAACTAGTCCAAAACTGGCTTATGACTGAGATAAACCTTGTCTAATGTACTCGTACACAGTAAAGACACAGTAAAGACGGTTTAAATGATGTGTAGCTAATTACTACCCAACTCGCTCGCCTAAAGACACCACGGCATTAAAAAAAACAAATTTGGTGGCAATTCAGCGTGCGTAAGCAATTGTGCAAAGAAACCAATTGAAATCCTCAGTCGGAAGGAAAAAATAGTTGTGATGAGAATCAGCAAGCCACTTAACTATCACATGTCGCAAGTTCCCAACTGCTAAAGAGTTATTTATGCATGTAGTGGTTTCCTATTTAAAACACTAGTTACTGTATGAATATAAAACAGGATGCATGAGCTGTAGCGTTCACCTGACTAAAGGAGACGAAGGAAACACAATATTTGAGTGTGTTGATATTTAAGGTTGGCCCTCATTAGGAATCCTTTGGGCCTGGTTAACAGCAGTTAGCCCCCCAATTAAATGAAGAATAAAAGCCGAGGCAGGAAAACTCAAGCACACCAGTGGGACACACACCCTCTCTGTTCTTCAAATCCCATCTGAATCATGTGCAGGAAGAGAAAAGTACAATTTATTCTGGTTTATTGCGGGGCTGTCACGCATTGGCTACATCCCATTTAGCGAGCGTAAATGAGAGCGGCGGCGGCATCAGACAGCCATCTCGCAGGGGCGTGGGTATCAATGGCATGGTGATGTTCTGGCTTTGTCTATATTTGTTTGACAGCTGGTGGTGGTGGCCTACGATCATGGTGAGCCTGTAATGAAGAATACAACTCTGGTAGAGATCACAGTCCTTCAGCCCTCTGTTATCCCTGTCTTCACCCGGGAAGAATACAGGTATGTGCACATACATACACATTACCATTGTTTAAATTAAACGTCAGCCTTTTTTTCTTACAATACAGTATGATGACATCAGGCTGGTAAATGGCGTCACTAGTATGTGACACCAATACCAAAACAATGGATTTGTATAGCTTTTGTCAGACTTGAGGACCGCAATGTTGCTTTTGTGCAGCCATTTCCCTTGTTGCCAGGTTTCAAAAAAAACATTTTTGTTTTGATTTTCATGAGAGCTGATCACATGAGACATGACGTCTGTTCTCGTCACATTTTCGGATCGCATCACTGGGAATCCCAGACGAGTAGAAAAAAGTATCTGGTACCAGGTACTATCACCTAATGTAAAACTCTAAAAACCGAGTCGAGTCAAGCAGAGCCGACCCAAGTAAGTACTAATGTTGTTTTTTATTAGTGGAATTGTTGCAAAGCAATAATCGCAATATATTTACTCAATATGGCTGCATGTATTTTTTTTTAACTCAGCTTTGACCTTGAGTGCTAACAATGAAGGTTCAAAATCAGCTGCTCAGCCAACCTTTAGGTATTCATGTTCCCCAAAGTCTAGCATTGAGCTCACTGCACCACCCCTCCTCTGCAGCTGAGCCACACCTCCACCACATCTACCATCACACAAAATTTGAAAATGATATCTTGAATACTGCGGACGCTAGACTACTAACAAAAACAGACAGATAGACAAACAAACAGAACCAATTACATACTCCCTCCCTCCAGGAGGAGAATTATTGCAAAGGTTGTATTCCTGTGGAGCAAGAGGCAGGCACACATCTCAGTTTCTCACAGTTAGCTGAATAAAAACATAAGAAATGCTGGATGGCACTCTGTTGTGCCTCCCAAGTAAGATGAACAATTTGTTTCTTGTTTGGCAAATTAATGAAGTGCATTAATTTAACGGGTGATTAGAATATAGGAAAGAAAAACTATAAGGTGGAGAACTGAATTAATTTTCCCTGACAGATTAAAATCCAAAGTGCTTAGTAAGGTTCAGCCACATTTCAGCATGGACCTCTATCCATCCATCCATCCATCCATCCATCCATCCATCCATCCATCC